GAACTGAGGCAAGGGATCCAGCGGACGCACACACAAAAGCAACAACAGCATCTGCTCCTTCTACTGTGTCCACGTCTCCTCTGCTCCTCACCAGGTGCTTTGCCTATTGGGGTACCTGGTGCATTTAAATGCCTCCTAAGTGAGATGAACTTGGGGTACCTGGTGCAGTTACATGCCCCCTAAATGAGATGACTTTGGGGTACCTGGTGCATTTAAATGCCTCCTAAATGAGATGAACTTGGGGTACCTGGTGCATTTAAATGAAAGCAGACTGGCCCCCAATATTCCGGCTCACACGAGTTCATTGAGGCCGGGACCAGCGGCACTCCCCTTTGGAACTGGGGACCCGTCCATGGCTTCAGGCAGGTGCTCTTCGCATTCCGAGAGCCTAAATGGCACCTATGAAATGTGGGAACAGTCCAGGACATTTCACTTACTCGCTATTCTGTGAGGATGTCTTTCCTGGTTCACGGGTGCCCAGGCCTCCCCCAGGCACTCTGACTGGAGGGGGGGCCTTCCTTCCTGGAACCTGTTATCATGGTCCCCTTGGTCTGGTTAATACAACTGCCTGGGGCTCCCTGAGAGCCAGGGCGACAGTGACTGCCCGTGGGGACGCGCTCGGAGGGCGGGAATGAGGGAGAGAGCGTGACTGCCTGTTGAGGAGGCTTGACTTCCCGGGGATTACTCCCGGCCTCGGGTCCTTCAGTGGAGGCTCAGGAGAGGCCCTGCCTCTGGGAACTGAATAACCAACCGGTTACAGCCTCCCTGTGGAAATGTGCCCCCAATCCCCATTTGGAGGGAGCATGGGGTGCACACATCCCCGAGGGCACCGTGTCACAGCCCAAGGATACACAGTGGGGCTTCATGTGGGTGCCCTGTCTCTGTGTGTGTCCGGGAGGTACACGAGCCCCGGGCTGTGCCCATGGCGACGTGCGCGCAGACTTTCCAGGAGATAAGCCCTCGCACACCCGCCTCCAGGTCCTTCCTTTCCCCACCACCGCCTGAGGCGGCCCCTGGGCCCTGCCTTCTCACAGCCGCCCTTCCCCCACTCACACCTTCAGG